TTTCACATTCCCACAGTGCTCTGAGCTTTATCCTAGCAGATCACTTACTATACTGCACAGCAGTTGTGGAACCATCCATCTACTTTCCTGTTAGATACTAAGCACTTTGAGGCCAAGAACTGTCAATTTCTCTTCTTTGTACCTCCAGGAATTAACAGTGTGCCCTATACATAGTAGGAATGGAATAAATGTTTGCAGGGTAAGTAAATAAAGACTAGTTCCACTCTTAATTCTTTTAAAATTCTTCATTTTACTTCTAATGTAACCGAGGCAGAAATTAATACACTCAACCTTCCAAAGACCTACATTCCTTGCGTGGTAAACACAGGAGACCCTGTGTCCATTTAGATTCTGTAGCTAGCGATCCTTTCATAGCTGAAGTCTATGAATGTAAATAGGAGGACAGAGAATCTGCATATACAGTGAAAAATTCCATATATATTTTGTTACCTAGCGACATCATGAGAAGCCTTTCATCTCAGTCTCATCTCATGAAAACAAAGGACAACATTGTTAGTGTCTGACTCACATCAGTACCGGGATGATGAACGGTGTCTTAGCACATAGTGATCAGGCAGCCCCAGAAAGTGGTCCCTTTATAGAAGCATTAATGAGGCAATTTGCTTAACCAGCATCCCCTTGCTGACCAAAATCAGACAAAGCTCTGGTGCATTTGAAGGCTTAGGGGGAAAAATCTCTCAGTAGAAATAGAAATCAGTCTTTGGCGGGTATTTGTGGCATGGAAGTTCATCTGAAGCATGCACCATTAGTCACCATCTGGTGGAAGAAACAGGACACCCTGCCTTCCTGCTGGAGAACATGGTCCTGTAGGTGACAGTGAGGAGGTTGATTTTGTTTGAGAGGGCTTTCCGCTGCTCTGACCCATTTATCAACAAGACATAGCCAGCAGTGTTCTCTAAGGAATAAGGGAATGTCACATCTGCTTAGGTTTGGTAGAGTGTAGCAGCAGATGGAATAGTTTCCTTACCCTGGCATTCAAATAGTCTCTGACCTGATACCCACAAGCAACCTCTTAGCCCATCCCCATCATGCTCATTGTACTGAAACACAGTATCTCCATCTTTTACTTTTCTTGATTTTTCTAGTTTGCCTGGAAGGCTTCTCATATTTGTACTTATAAAATTCTACTCTCAGAAATACTGGGACTCTAGCCCTCATTCTAGACTTCGCACCAACCTAGAGCCCAGATTCAATAAATCCAGTGACATTGTCCTAAACCTCCTGCATTGTTACTTTGAAGCATCATCTCTGAAAACTCTACACCCACTATCAGATCCAGTGAGCCTGTGGCTCCCTGCCCAAGCAGGGAGGTTCGAGACCCCATGGCTCCCCTCAGCTTCCTGAGCCTCCAGAAGAACCTAAGAAGTGTGTGCTGCTACTGGAAATGTTTTGACACAGAGAGGGTCTTGTCGCTCAGAAGTGTACAGCTGCACCTTGCTTTTCACTTGCCTTATGTTCTAGTTTGGGGAACACGCACATTCATGCCATGTACACTCAGTCCTGGGCCTGGCCCAGGAGAGGCCCAGCCCACCAGGACAGCCAGCACCAGGAAGCACCTCCCTCTTTGCCTCTGGCTTCCTTATGTCCCGGAATGGACATATTTCTCACACCCAAGAACCTGATAGGCACATTTTCTACTTTTTCTTTTTCCTCACCCTGCTCTTAGGAAATCGTTGGAAGAAGGATGCTGACAGAGACAGACTGGTGATCTTGAGGAAAGAACGCGGTCCAAAGAAGTGAAAGTCCCCATCTCCAGGTCTTGGCTTGGATTCTAATTGACATAATAAACCTGTTATTTAACTAAAAGTTTCTTTTTGTCCCCTTTGTGAAATAAGGAAAGTAAAAACCCACCCTATCAGACAAATGGACAAACAGGATAAAATCAATAATCAATAATCAATTCAACTCTTGGCTTGTGAAAAGCTCCACAGATCAGGGCATTACTGGGGAAACAATGATTACCGCCTAAAGATAAATTCTTTATCTGCCTGGAAGCAAAAATGACTGATGAGGCTTACAAAGTGATTACAGTCATTAACATTTGTTAAGAGCTGTACAGGGGACTTTCACATAATTCATGGCACTTAATCCTATTGCCATTAAAATATGAATGAATATTTTTCCCATTTAACAAAATGAGGAAACTGAGTTCCAAAAAGTTCAGTCTGCTTCAGACACCTCAGATGGTTTTAAGAAATTAACTGAAGTCTTTTGACTCTTGTTTTCTTTTTACAACACCGCTGTCTCAAGAAAGGTATTGCAGGAGAAGATGCATTAAAAGCATTACACTTGAGACTTTGTTATTTGTCCAAGACAAAATGCCCTGTGGGCATATAGTATTCTCAGATTCCTTTCATAAAGCCAAATTATCCTTGAAAATTATTAAAAGGTTTTAATTCAGATTCATTTCTGTGTTATGCTGATTAATACTTCCTGTGGAGGTCATTAACAACTATCAAGAACATTTTCACCATTCTTTTGGTTAAATGGACTTCCTTATAGAAACAAAAGCCATATGTGGCTAGATGGCAGCTCTAATAATTACAACCAAAACCAAATGTGAAGATAAAGATAAAATAAGATATATTTAAATGGAATCTTTTCCCAAATAGGTTGTATGGCAGGCACATCAGTAGCTATTTAGTAAGAGCATCTTTGCCTTTGATGATGATTCTTAAATATGTGCTAATTAAGAGTTTTGTTATTAATAAGTAAGAATATAGTACAAAGTTTAGAACACCGTGTATATATTATAAAAGTATCTAATAAAGTTGATCTTAAAATACAAATTTTAATTAATAAAGCAAATTTGGTGTTCAATTTATAAGAACAAGGCCAACAGTTCTGTTTTACTCATGACATTAAAAAGGGGATTATTCATCCATGTTCTGCCCCCATAGAGGGTGAAGTATGTGGGAAAGTTACTTGACAGATGGACATTTCTGAAGTCTAGTAGCAGAAATGGCAGAATAATCATTCACAGAACCCCCTACTACACCATAGAAAATGTATTCTGATAGGATCATCCTGATAGTGCCAGCCTCTTACTGCTTTTGTATCCCTCAGTAGTTACAAATTAGCTTAGAGAATCAGCAGTCAGTAAATCTTAGCCTCCTTCCTCTCCTAAACCAGCAACTCATTCCTGAGCATACAAAAGAACACAGAGAGGGGACAAGGTAATACCCGCTCTGCTGTCTTTGCTAAAACTAGAGAACTGAGAACGGGCCCTTAATTTCTTGAAGCAAATAGCACATTTCATTGTGTTAGTCATGTTTCTTATTTGCTGCATTTTCCATGCTTTGACTTCTCAGAGAGTCTTGCTAATCTGGGGATACTGACCATCCTAGGGAGATAAAAAAGGGCTCACTCAGAACACATCTTTCATACACAAACTGACAGATCCAGATTCTCTCGTTATTATCTTCATTTAATACACCAAGCCAGTAATCCCCACCCTGAATCAACCTAAGACCAGGTCCTGGACAACTGGAGGGTACCTCCATAACCCAGAACCCACCGAAATATATAAGCTAGCTGATCATACAATGTTTACTTTGTCCTCTTTCTCTTTCTGAGCTTTGCTAGTTGTAGTCATGGGGCTTTTGTTTTGTTTGGAGCGATATAGGGATCAAACCCAACGGCTGGCCCTGAGTCACACCCCTCTCTCCATGAACCTCAATACAGGGTTCCGGCTTTCCTGCCTCTGTGAATCCTTAGTTTGGGGCACTGGATAAGAGTCTCTAGTTTGTCCCCTCCCATCCTACATCCCTGTCTCATCCCATAGGTCATCAGGGTGATAACAGAGTCAATATTCTGTTATGTATATGTGAAAAACTTTAAATGTTTACCATCTCTAAATTAGTGTATTTTAATTTAAGAAGCTGTTGCTAAACTCAAGCTCACCAGCAAACTACGAAGCTCCCTTGCACAGTGATTCTCAAGCCCAGGATTGAGCACCATCAAGGAATTACTTGAAATCGCAGACTCCCAAATCTGCCTCCCAGCCCTCCCAGCAGGCACCTGTGGTGGAGGACACAGGAGCTGGCTCAACCTGAGACTGGAACGTCCAGCCGGTTTGGGCACCATCGCTTTAACAATGGTTCTAAAATCATCCCATTTCACAACCACAGCTCTACAAGAATTTGGGGTCCATTAAGAGACCAGAAGCTGAGTTTTCCAAAGAAGACTATATTTTACTATCACAGGTAATGGCAGTAGCCCCAGGTTTCTGAGATGAAGATTGCTGAGGATTTTATCAAGACAAGGGGCAGTTGGCATGACCTGAGTTATGAGTTCAAATCCACTAGCACACCAACCCTTCTCATCATTTGAATTAGCCCCATCATTGCTTAATCAAGCATCTACCATGGCAAAGATTCTATCCTATCGTACAGAAGTAACAGTGGAAACGTTTTTGAGTTCTGTGTGCCCACCACCATTTTAAGCCCAGCACAAGAATTAGCTCTCTAATTTCAGAACAAACCTATGAGGTAGATGCCGATGCCACCCCAATTTCATACATTAAACAACTAAGGTCCACAGAGGAAAAGCAATTTGCCCAAAGCCACAGAGCTAGCAAACCACAGGATTGAGATTGGAACTCAGGATTACAACTCAGTTCTAAACCCTAAGGTCTCTTAGGCAGCACTGTGGAGAATTAGCATTTGTGGGATACCCCAGAACGAGGCCACTTCATCTACTGTCTCATTTAATGCTCCTAAGGAAATAGGCTCAGCTGCTTGTCATTTATCCAACATAGAACAGTAAATAAATCATTTGAACCCTGTATAACTTCAGGACTCTTTTGGATGCCTACTCCTGCAGCATTCATGCAGGATTTGTAAAACACTGACTGGCTCAGCCTGGATGCAGAGGCTGAGAGCCAGCAGTGACAGATGCCCACTGCAAAACAAGCCCGGGCCTCTCTGTAAATAACACATCATTTGTGACTGCATTGCTATGTTTTCTGTTCAAGCGCCCAGCTGTGCTTTCTTCACACAATCTCTACAAGCTCTTCCTTCTCAAGAACCCAGGGAGAAAAGCAGGAGGCCGAGCTTTCGTTTGGGTTGCTGGTGAGTTCTCTTGTCCAGCCCACCTGCCCCTTCAGGTCCACCTTCCCTTGCTGCATGAGGGCCCCACTGGTCTTGGGTACGTGGAGGAGGAGCCTGTCACTTGCTGTACCCCACTTCCTCTCTCTGCCTGAGCACTGCCATCTCCCTGGGGCCCTCTCTTTTCAGGGAGCAGAGCACAGGATCGCCTCTCGGCTCAGGTCCCCAAATCCTACTGGGGTTTTGGAGTCTCCTCCAGAGTCTGACAGGAAGTAGGTGACGGGTCCTTTGGTCCAGCACCCATCAGAGCTCTCCTAATGCTTTACTGAGACATCTTTATCAAGTGTCAGGATTTGGAGTTACTGGAAAGAAATCCCTACCCTCCTCCGATTTCTGACTCGCAAACATTTGCCTCAACTTTCCAACCCCCAAAATAACGTTTTGTAAAGGAACAGACCAGAAGAGGTTCTAGACCACCTCTCGAGCCCCACCATCCCCTGACATAAGAAGAGCAAAGAGAGAGGAAATCACCACACGAAAACCAGCGCTTAATATTTCAAAAATATTTTCCAGTCGCGTCAGCAACTATCCAATGCCTGCAGTGTGCCAGAAGGTGTGCTGAAGACTCATGCCTCCCTCACTGTTCACATTGCTACTACTATATGGCCAGTACATCGACGGCGAGGAAAGTAATTCTCAGAGGTGAGGTGATTTGTCCCCTGTCGTGGGGAAGTGCCTGGAAGTGTGTCGGCCCCCAGATCCCAGCTAAGGGGGAAGGGGCAGTGCCCTTCTCAGCGCATCAGTGACTGGCAGCTGGTTTGACCAATAGGAGGCGCCAACGGAACATGGTCGTAGGATGAGGAAGAAGCCAGGGTCTCTTCCCAGGCTTTTCTTCTTGGGCCAGGCCGCTTCTGTGGCAGCTCTGTTACGCCAGGCTTTGCAGCCACTCCCACCTGTTCGCCCCATTCCCCTCACTGGATTCCTTCCGCTGGGAGTATTTGAAATTGCGCCCCTTTACCCGGTTAGAGTGTGGGTGTTCTACTGGTGTTTGCTCTCTTTTGCCTGTCCTACCTCGAAGGAGGGCTGGGGTCGGGAAACAGCCTGCAAGGTGAGATAGGAGCTCTCGCTGCCAAAGGCCTTGCTCTCAGGACGGCAGAGGAGTCAGGGGCAGAAGGATGGGAAAGAGGCCCCTCCACCCCGCCCGTCCCCGCCCGAGAGAGAGTTCCCACCGGAAGTATCATTTTACTTCCCTTTTGCCTTGAAGGAGTCAATCATGGTAACGCAACTTACAAATGAGTTCTTTGTAGCCCAGCAAATAAAACACAGCTTTTGTCTGCTGTTCTGAAGTGGAGTGGGAAGGTAAGAGGGGAGGCTGAGACTCACTGCCTGGGGACTTCTGCGGGACAGCAGTAACTTTGGGGTCACCCAGCGGCAGTGATTGCACCTAGGGGAATGGCAGTGGGTGCCCAGACCCGGCCAGGAGATCTGATTACTGGGTATGAGTCCACGTTTCTGGACCACATCATCTGACCACCTAAATAGCCATGGGACACATCTGCATAATCCACCTTACGTCTGTAGCTATTGCTATAGTAACCAGCAACCAGGACTTCTTTTTTAGACTAAGTTCCTTTCTTTGAGGGAAAATGTTCATCCTGTATTTGAAAGAAAACAATCTATACGCAAGAAGTATGACCTTACATATTCAGAGAGGCTCATCTTAACTAAAAAATAACAAAATAGTGATGTTGGGCAGCATCAGTTAGTTCAATTAGAAGCTGCTGGTTGTGAACTGTACACATTTCAAAGAGAAAGAATGTTCTAAAGAAGCCTGTCTCAGATCAATCTGCTTCTCATTTATATTTAATGTTCTTGCAAATGGTGAAACAGAACAGTTCGTGCTGAGCAATAAGCTTCTGGGTTGAATCTAACAGCTTTTAAAACCAAGGGGTGTGAGGAGTCCAGGTTCAGAGGGGCCTGCTTCTAGATTTGATGTCTCTTCTAGGCAACTCATCAAAGAGCCTGACCTTGGAGGATATTGCAAGAAATTGCTTTTATCTATTTTCTTCCATCATCACCCCCCAAAGGAGCCAGGATCCCCCTTTCTTGTCCCTTACAGATACTTCATTTTGAAAAAGTGATAGCTTGCCTGCTATTTTTAGGCATAAAAACTCCAGTCTGGCTCAATTTAAAACTTTAATCCAACTTCACTTTCAGCCCCTCCTGCTCTGAAGACCAGCTGGGCCTCTACCTAAGGACAGAAAGTGAGGTGATCAGACAGTCACTTCTCCACTGGGACTGGCTGAAGGAAGAAGGACGGGGAAGGGAACCGTGACCCTACAGGCCCGGGAGACTGCTCCTCGTGGTTGTTCACGGTGCTTCTGATTGCAGAGCCGTCTAACCCAAGAGGTCGCTCTTGCCTCCCTGCCCAGACAGCTCATACCCAGGGCTCTTGCCTCAGTGGTCTCTTTACCTGGTGATGGTCACCTTGCCTGGGCTATCAGCAAAGTGGCTTAACTCCTGCACTTTCAGAACTACAGGTTGAGCAACCCTTATTCAAAATGCTTGGGACCAGGAATGTTTGGGATTTTGAAATTTGGGGAATGTTATTTCAATATGCCTCATGAGATATCTTGGAAATGGCACACAAATCTAAACATGAAATTCATTTATGTCTCATATGCACCTTATATAGATAGGCTGAAGGAAATACTAATTCTATGCATTAAGCAAAGTTTATGTACATTGAACCATCAGAAAACATCACTCATGGCATCTTAGTGCTCAAAAAGTTGAAGACTCTGGAGCATTTGAGAGTTCAGAGTTCTGGATTAGGGGTGCTCACCCTATTATCTACTTGACCCATCTTTTCATGCCAAGCAGAAGGAGGGCGCTGTCCCTGGGCTGCCACCAATCCTGATGTTTCCCCCTCTCCCTAAAGTGCAGAGGTAGATCCCTGCAGGTGAGAGGCGGTCTCAGCCCTGTGCCCCATGCTCTGAGAGCTTCTCTTTGAGCCCACATCATGTAGCTTGGGTGTGGAGTGTTGGAGCCTCCTGACCCCTTCCCCCAAGGAAGAGCCGCCCTGTCCCTCTTCCTAGATCCCAGCGCTGACTCTTCTCAGAGCTCCAAATTTCTGCTTAATCAAACAGCCAGGCTGGTGGCAGCAGGTCTGCCTTGCTGCTGCTGCTCCTCCTGGGTGCTTTCTGGTTTCACTTGCAGGGCTTTAAATGCAATCAAGCATAATCCTCCAAGTTACACTTAGCATTCTGTTACTTAAAACACAAAGCCAGGCTTCCTGACAAATAAAAGGATGGGGGATATAGCTTCGCTGGGTGGTAGAGCGCCCCTGGGTTCCATCCTCTTTAACACACACACACACACACACACACACACACACACCCCACACACACATCACACATGCATCACAAAAGACTGTTTTCCTCAAACTGACACAAAGCACATTTGAAAGCATCTATTCAATGGATAATTTTAAATTATACTATTTATCAAAACTAACCAGAAAATACAGAAAAATCTAAACAGATTTTTTTTTTAAAGAAATAGATTTGTAAGAATGTCATGCCTCCCCCCATACATCTCAAGCCTCAGAGGCATCCCCAGGATTCTCTGCATTTCTTATTTTGTGTGTTCTGTACCTTTCTCCTTTTTTCTTGCCCAATTTAGCAAGTAGTTTATGTAATTTTTGTTTTATTTTTTACCCCCAAAAGAAGCAGTTTTGGGTTTGTTTACTGGTCCTGATCCTGTTTTTCTGTTTTCTAATTCACATATTTTTGCTTTTAACTTTCTCCTATTTCCCTGCTCCACCTGGGCCAGCATCTTCAGCTGAGCTACAGCCCCCCCCAAAAAAATTAAAATTTTTTAATATTTTTGAGATAGTCTCTCTAAGTCATGAAGTTGCCCGGGAAGGCTCAAATTTGCTACCTCCCTGACTCAGCCTCCCAAAGCACTAAGATTACAGGTGTGCACCACGGCACCCAGCTCCTTTTAACACTTTTACTTCTATTTTACTTCTTTCTGTTTTATTTTTCACAGTTTCCTTTTCTAACTCTCTTACTAAAGTGCTCATTTTTTTTCTATCCTTTCACGTATGTTAATATGCAAAGCAAGAATTTTTCCTTACGCCACTTAAATATATTCCTAAAGTCTGGCATACCTATAGTATTTTCGTGAGTATATTTTATAGGTACACTGCTATTTTTCATTTCTAAAGTGGAAGAGACTTTTGATTGATTTTGCTATTAATTTGACTTCATTGCATTGTGCTAGAAAAATGCTCTTTGTACTTTTTGGATTTTTTTTTTTACAATTACCTAATATACCTTAATTTCTCAATCTCTACCACCTGTACTTGAAAACCAGGGTACAGATTTTGAATATATCAACCAGCTCTTCCCATGAATGTCATTATTTTGTTATCAGTTATTAAATATTAATAGTTAATAAATAATGCAATATATGTTACTAGTTCTTCCTTGTGCTTTTTGGCTTATTTGATCTGTCATAAAATAAGAGGAGAGACTGAAAGTCTGATATCAGTGCAGTTCTGTGGATGTCTCCTTTAGTCCCTGAATCCTGCCACGTGAATGCGACGTGAATGTCCCTCCATGATTCTTCCGTCTTCACTGAGAATTGCACTTTGGCGTTGAGTCTCTGAGTGCTCTGTGACCTGAGTTCCGTATTGATAGGGCTGCAGCCCAGCACTTCTCCCTCCCTTCTCTCACCCTCTCCTCAGATCCCTATTCTTGTCACTTACATAGCTTATTAGCTTTGTGCTGTTAAATACCTCAGGCTTCGAGTCTTTGATGTGAAATTTACCAAATCTACACTTTCCAGGCATATATTTGTCCATTTAAATACTTTCAATCTTTCTGAATCAATTTTTTTAAAGTATCTCTCTTGTGTAGGAACAGGAATTAGATATTGCTTGGTGGTTCACTCTGAAAATATATTTCTTTTACTAAGCCAATTGTTTTCAGATCAAGAAAGGGTTTTTTTACATATAGATACAACAGCTGTGCATTGCCTTAATTTTTTATTTGTTTTATGTAGTTTTATTAAAATATTTCATTGCGTAGTCTATTTTCTTAGCTTATATTTTATCTTTAAAATATAATTCTGATGTGAGTATACAAAGGATTATATTTTGCTTCTAGTGCTTCCATTTATAATTTTATATATTATTTGTAAGCTCTTTTGCTTTTCGTAGTTTGCTAGTTTCCTACTATAAACAATATTTTTTCTCTCCTTTCTAATCCCTCTCTTCTATTTTAGTCAATTTCATCATCTTTATTAGTGCTTAAATTTCTACTCTTAAATACACTCATATTCTATCACAACTTTAAAAGATACACTTTTCAGGCCGGGGATTTAGCTCAGTGGTTCTAGCGCCTGCCTTGCAAGTGCAAGGATCTGAGTTCGCTCTCCAGTACCAAAAAAAAAAAAAAAAAAGATACACTTTCTGATGAGAAACTGGGTTTTGGGGGTTTTTTAAAGACAGTCTCACAGTGTAGCCCAGGCTGCCCTTGAACTCACCGCAGTCCTTCTGCCCCAGTCTTCCAAGTCCTGGAGGGCTAGGATTACAGGTGTGCACCATTATGCCCAGCTGGTATTTTTCATAATCAAGTGTCACTCCTAAAGGCCACCTATTACTTGTGAGGGAGAATAAACCAAATAAAGCAGTGATTATATGTAGTGGAAAAATTGGATGACATCTTGACTAGATGATATAATTAACATCACCTGTGAGGGCCAGATGAGCTTCTGGTGAACTCAAGTGGTAGTCCTGAGAAGGACACAACATCACCTATGCAGTGGTATAGCCAGGAAAGCAAAACCTAGACCAAATCATAAGAAAACCAGACAGATACAAGTAAGGAAAGTTCTGCTAAAATTAAAAATAAAAATAAAGCATTTGTGGGGACCATATTCTTCCAGATCAGCCGTGTCCTAAAAAGGCAAAGGCCAAGGAAATGTTCCAGATTAAAGGAGGTTGGCTACGTCCTGTATGACAATAAAATGTGTTATAAATGATACTACTGGGTTTGCTGACAAAGCTTGAATATAGCTGGTAGTTTAGATAACAAGTGTATCAATGCATTTATGGAGTTGACAATTGTACAGCAATTATGGAAGAGCATATCCCCATTGTTAGAAAATACAAGCTGACATATTTAGGAGGAAAGGGTTATGATGTATGTAACTTACTCTCAAGTGGTTCAGAAAAAATTACGTATGCATACATATATATGTATCAACATCTGTGTCCATAAAAGGAGACTAATGATAAACCAAGTGGCGTAAACAGTAGGTGAAACAGTAATATTATTATAGGTGTTCTTTTACTGTTTTTGGTTTTGCAACTTTAATAATTTTTTAAATACTGTTTGCATTTTTGCATATACTCATCCATTTTCCTTCTTTCTTCCATTGTATTTCTGTTGTAACTAATATTTATATTTGTCTGATATCCTGATTTTCATATTTGCCTTAGATGTAAAATTACAGTTAAATATTTTCAGTACTCACTGCCAGTCCTTTTGCCACGGCTTTCTTAGTCACCTCCTAATTGGTTAAAGAGTCTTTTAAGTAAGTCCCTTAGAAGGGCTCATGGGAGCACTATCCCTGAGCTCTTACATTAAAAAGCACATTTTTTTATAGTCTTTATGCTTGAAGGACAGCTTGCCCAAAGATAAATCCTTGATGCACACTTGGTAGAAATGGCTCCATTGTCCTCTGGCAGCAAATGTAACTACAGAGAAACCTGCAGTCAGCTGATTTTCTTTTAGCCCTGAAGACTCCTTTTTTTCCTTTGACAAAAGGCTGTTGTCACTATTGTACAGTTCAACTATTTTAATAGGGTATGTTTTTGTGTTGACTGATCTGACCCAACTTTCCCTGAAGCATGGCATACAATTTCAATGCATAGAATTGTTTCTAATTTCAGAAAAATTCTCTTGAATTATATTTTGAGTATGTAATGCAGTCCATCTGTGACTGTCAATCATGATGTGTCAATTTGGATTAAGAAATGCCTAGTAGATTAGAAACACACACTTTGGAGTCTGTCTGGTGTGTCATACAGATGTGACCTGGGTACTATCGATAGTCCTTGGGCCCTTTCCTCTCTGTCACTCTTCCCCTGCTATGCTTCCTGTCTGCCATGAACTAAGCAGCTGTGCTCCACCATACCCTTCCCCATGATATTTCTGCCTCAGAGCCAGCTGGCCATGAACTGAATTCCCTGAAACTGTAAGCCAAATCACCTCTCCTCCTTTAGGTTGTGGGTGTTGGGTATTGTGTCCCAGAAGTGGGAAAGCTAATGCAATATCCCTTTGTCTTGTGTTTTCTTTAAAGACACCAAATCTGTGCATTCTGGATGTCCTTTAACTTTTTCTTATAGCTACCTTCGGATAGAAGGAGGCCCTGTTCCGTAGGTTGGCTGCTATTGGTTCCTAACTCCATGTACTTATCCAAGTGGAGGTTAACTGAATCAGGTCCTGTCTGATCAGCAGAATGTACACAACACCATCCTACCAGAATTGGGTCTCAGTTCTCAGTTCTCTGTGTTTTTCTTTTTTCCTGTCCTCAGCATAAGTTGCTGTTCCTCACTTCTCTGTCACTAAAAAGGGGGCTACATGAGAAATGGGGGGGGGGTCTCATCTCCCTATAATAAGAATTTCTGTTTTCCTATCTTTCAGTATAACAAAATTATCCAATGAGATCTACAAACTTGATATTATGGTTAGTATTTGTTGATGAGCATCATGTTCTTTTTATGTTCCATTCACACTTACTGTAGTACAAAAAAAGAAATATGAACACTTTTGTTCTTCATTCTCTCCGAAATTCAGTTTTATTATCTGTATAATGAACTCAGTGAAATGCATCTTGCAAAATTCTTGCAAGGATTAGCAATAGGATATGTAATCTTCTACTATGGTTTATGGCATACAGTAGGTGGTTTACAGCTGGATAGCTATTGATTTCCATATGTGGTCTATTTATCTCTCTGCTTCATTCTTTATATTTAATGAAGACCAATTTTAATTCAAAGCAAAAATACCCTGAAAACTTAGCCTATCCTACAATTAATAGAAGTATAGAACGGCAACTCAGAACAAAATCTCTCATTTGATTTTAGTCCAGCCTAGGAAAATCCAAATTTTGATGTATTCTTCTTTCCAATTTTAAAAATTGGAGTAGGAAAAATATCTTTTTATATTTATTACTGTGATGATAATACATTATTTAATCTGTTCAAAAAGGATGACGTGAAAGGTAGTTTTGAAAAACCACTTAAATATTGAGCAGTATGATCCAAAAAGACACAGTGAAAATACTATAGCTTTTGAAGTAAAAAATGCCAAGCCCTGTGATTTGGGATTAAGCTACTCAATTCTTTTGAACTTCAAGTTTTTCATCTGTAAATAAGATATTTGTTTATTTCATAAATGAAATAAGAGCTATGAAAAGATTATACAATTTTAACTACTTTTTACTATGTGCCCCAAATATTTGTATCAGAAAAATAACTGTGATTTATTATCCACATTTGTGAATTTGGAGCCCTAGCATTTCTACATTCACTAGGTGTCAGGGTGAGAGCTACTCAGCGTAGTGATGACTACATTTGTCTAGGTGCTATCTCAGGAAGCCAGGGATACCTAACCACAGCCACCTTTCCAAAATTTATTTGAGGCCCACTAAGGTTACTTTTGTGTGAGGAGTTTCAGACTAAGCTGACTTCCTCAGCTCAGTTCAGTGGCAGTAAGGTCTAACAAGGCCATGAGACCAGAGAGCAGCACTCTTAGCACCCATTTCTAGAGTACTCAATTAAATCTTTACTCTGCAGCTGGGTGAAAGATCGTTACAAATTTGTCATTTTCCAAGCTTTTTTAATAGCTCCTTGTATGTGATTCCCACATCCAGCCAGTTGTCTATCTTTCTGAAGCACTCTGAGATAATGCCTTTCTCTTAAAATCACCGTGGGTGTGAAATTCTTAAAAGCTCTGCCAACTAATGTCTCATAGGATTCCAGGTGTGATATTTTATTGTTGTCATCTCTGAATAATGCAATTATCAGGAGATATATTCTTAAAAAGACTTCAGTAAGCACTTTGTGAGTTTTACTCGTCATACTCGA